TTCTCATATACTATGATTAATAAATAATAACATTAATTGGTACTTTATTTTTTATTAATTACACACTAATTTAATTTCCTTAAATTTCCAGCAAAAACCCATAATTAACTAAAATTAATTGTTATCCAACTAATTATCAAGTATTTCTTTAATTCAAACTTATTTAATCTAAATTAATACTTTTTAATTATTATCAATTCTACATAAAATTATTTTTCTTTATATTTTCAATTTAACCATAAAATTAATAAAAAGTAATTACTACCCATTAAATTAATCATTATTTATTCAATTCTAACACAACAGTTACTAAATTCCACTCGTTTTCATTAAGTGAAAAATTAAGTCCATTTCTTCCCATAGAGAAGAAGGAAGTAGACAATTACATTCAGAAAATAAAACGAGGAAAAAAAAATATACAGATTAATAAATCGTCGTGCATTGAGATGGAATAACAACAGGTGTGGTAAATGAGCTGGGCCTCGTGTACTAGAGGGTGTCGAGTTTGAAGAAAAAAGTTGGATTTTAAACATAAACCCGATTTGAAGTTTATTCAATTAAAAAATTGGATCTTAAATTATATAGATTTTTTAATTGGATCTTAAATTATATAGATTGATGTTGATTAATTCATATTAATTTAAAAAAAATTACAAAAATATTTAAAATTTTAATATTTCATATGAAAAAATTAGAAAATAATTTATATGAATATAAGCTATACATATTATAAATAATAAAATTTTAAAAATTATTTTAAAATTTTTTTATCTCACATTTAAAAAATAATTTTTTTATTGTGAATATAAAATATATATACTAAAAGGTCAAATCTCATATTGAAAAAATTAAATATATTTTTAATATTTATATAATGAAATTTAAAAAATTAATAATCAACTAAAAAATATATATAAAAAAAAGAGATCTTTAAGTTTTGCCTGGCCATCAATGTTGCAGATCGATCAAGTTTGATCTTTTTTTGTTTTTATTGATTTTTCATCTTATCTGAACTAGTTTATTGACAGAATTTCAAGTTGCATGTTAAGTTAATCCAGATTTAATAACTATAATTTCAAATACTTTACTTTAAACTTTGACATGGACCAATAATCCCCTTGCACATGTCAATTTTTTTCTCCAAATGCTTTAATTTAATTTAATTTTTTTTAAAAAAAAAGAAGAGAACTTGAAACGCCATTTATACCCTCTGGAGGTGGCTGGTTATTATTATGGTCATGCTTTCAAGATCAGATAAATAGGGCCAAAAGTGTTGATTTTATTACATATTGAGGAAGAACGTGTCTGTATTCCCCACTCTTTTTGCACGTGACAAGCAACTCCAGTTCTGCATGAAATGTTTGTTCAAAAAACTCAAATTTGCAAGCTTATGACTCAGGCTTAACACTTGTAAAGCCACAGTACAACTGAAGCGCCAGATCTGGACATCAACATCCCAAAGGTGTTTCCAAGTCTGCTAGGCACCAGCAGCTACAACAGCAAGAACACTTCCAGCTCTAGCAACAGTAAATTTAGCAGTAGATCCACCATTTTTTTTTTTAATTGTAAAACTGGTTGATTGACTCCGAGTATCTTTCAATGTGTACAAGTTTCGGGTCATGAATACTCTAAATCTGTTCAAAAAGGATTTTACTATCAAAAATACAAAACCGTCTGCATAAAGATGATGCAAAACTCGATACATAAGTATCCATGGTTATCTCTAATAGTATCATAAAAAAATTAAAATGATTTTATTTTAGTTTTTAAAAAAATTTCTTAATTTTAATTAAATTTGTTTTAAATTAGATTTGATCTAAGTGAACTAGATTTTAATGAATGAATATAAAAAATAATTCAAATTAAAATCCAGTTTAGATAAATAACAACATCAATGTCTCAAGAAAAGCTGAATCTAACAACTTTGATAATCAATATAAACCTGTTATTTAAAGTAAGAACATGAACATAAACAAAAGGTAAGATTTAGGGGAAATATTTAAATTAAATTAAATATCATGGAAAAAAATCTGGAGGAACTCTGTATCAACATCAAATGCACTGCAGAAAACGAAAGCCACATTGTTTGACAACATTCTAAATTCGGCACAAACCTATTTCTGAGCCCATTAACTAGAGGCTTGGGCAAAAAAAATTTATAGTCCATCAAATAATGGTTATTAGCTCAGCCTGTTGATTATTTAGTGAATATTGTTTTTGAGTTATAATATATCTTTAAAAATATTTTTTATTTTAAAAATATTAAATTAATTTATTTTTAGGTGCTTTTTTTATTATTTTAATATATTGATGTTAGAAATAAAAATATATAAAAATATTTTTTATTAAAAATATATTTTTTAAATACTGTATATTACAATACAAATACAAGTCGGCAATGACAACTAAAAAAATCATAAGAGAAAAGGACAGGAAGCAATCCATTTTAGACACTGTATTTATATAAATTAACCAGATCAGCCCTTATAAGAACTTTCATGAAATTTAGCCTTTATTCCTCACAATTAGTTAGTCAACTCAGTTCATTCATCAATATAATAACATGTTTATATTCTTCAAGTTATATTTATAACTTATTTCAATTGGGATGAACTAGTCTATTTACCCATATTTGAATGCAGATTAGATTAAGATTTTTTTTAAATATAAAAAATATTAAAAATGTAAAGAATTTTTTAACTATGGTATTAAACTTGACTAAGTATTTCAATTTTGAAATATTAAAACTCAACATTTGTTATAACTCGAGTTTTTAATTAAACTATGTGTGAGCTAACTTGATTTAAATCGATTGATTTCATGAATCTAAATATAATCTTAATGATCGGTAAAAACATGATTTAAATTTCAAAAGAATTTCAAGATTATGACTTTTTTAAAAAAAAATATTAAGACAATAACAGATTAAATCGATCTTAATCCCCTACGACCCAGGTCATGAACTCTATTAGGTTTAACAACTTCATTTAACTTCTTTTTTTTTTATCAAATATTAACCCAATACTAAGATATTTTTTTAGACTGTGATAATCTCATAAAAAAAAGAAATAAAACCAATTATGAAATCAAATTCCAAATTAAACAAATATCTACAGATGAAATAAAAAAAAAACTAATTAAAAAAATGTTAAACTTGTCAGACCCATAAACTAGTAAATAAGTCCATGGTTTTTATAAAGTTTAATAATATGAATTTTTCTCGTAAACTATTTTTTTAACTATATGAGAAAAAAATAGAAGAAAAAAAAGTTAAAGTTCAATTAAAAAAAACACTCCACAAAACCTATAAACTAAGGCAAGTTGTTCATAAACCATACTAACATCATAGAAGGATAAAATTAAATAAAACAAACTATAAAGTTAAATTCTCAACTATCCCAATATTAAAAATTAAAATAAACAAACAATTTTTTAAAAAAAATCATAAAAAATTTGAAAAAGGAAAGAAAAGAAAGAAAAGCAAAATACTATGTATTATTATTATTGTAATCCATAATGCCAATGGATGTTGATGGATAATGGTGTCCCTTGCATCCTTTTATTTTTGTTACTTTATAAAGTTTCATAACATAACTTTTTTCTAAAACTATTTTTTTTTAATCATGTGAGAAAAAAAATAGACTACAAAAAAATCAAATTCAATTAAAAAAATAACCCACCAAACTTGTAAACCAGAACAGCTTGGGTTATTTCGGCAAACTAGCAAATCATGAAAACTTACAAAATAAAAGGAAATAAATTACGAAACGAAATTCTCAATCATCCTAATTTTAAAAGATAAAATAGACAAAAATAAATTTTAAAAAAATCATAACAAAATTCAAAAAATAAATAAAAAAGAAAAAAAACAAAACATTGTGAATTACTATTATAATCCATAATGTAATAAGTGTGAGTGAATAGTGGTTTCAATTTTTGTTATTTTATAAAGTTTAATAATATGGTTTTTCTCCAAAACTATAGGAGAAAAAATAAACTATAAAAAAAGTCAAGTTCAATTAAAAAAGAGAGAAAAAAAAAAGATATCTTATCAAACCCATAATCAAAGCTAACCTGAATTACCTTAACAAACTCATAAATCACGCTAATTTCATACAAAGAAAAAATAAAAAGAAATAAATTATAAAGCTAAATTATCAACTATCCCAATATTAAAAAATAAAATCAATAAAAAAATCTTAAAAAAATAAAGAAAAAAACAAAAATAATGTGATCAAGCAATAGAAAAGAAAAAGAAAAAAGAAGAAGAAAAAAGCTAATACAAGAAAATATTTTAACAATTCATATTTTATAAGGAAAGTTATGGTAGTTTCCTCCCGTGCTTTAGTTTTTTTGTTAATAATAATTAAATAATAATAATAATTGATAAAATATCTGGTAAAATTGAAGAAAGGGGTTTTATCATGGTTTCATTGCTGGATTGACGAAAATGAAAGAACTACATTTTGTTAGGGTTTTATTGCTGGATCGACTCAATTAAGGGGACTATATTGGTTTCATGCAAAAAGTAGCTGTCTCGCGCTAAAGACGACATGCACGCCCAAATTCAAAGTTTAGGGCAGCGTGGAAAAATATCAACCTACTCACAAACCTGTCACGTGACATCACGCCACCACTGAAATCTTCAAATAAAAACTAAAAGTCTAAATACGTACAATTATCGGTCTCACATCGCGAGTATAACTGTTCAGTACACTCAAGCGAGTGAAAGAAAAAAGATAAGTGTTGGGGATCATATGATTGATACGTGGAAAGACTTTACAAAAAGAGGTTGCGTTCACACTGTTAGACCACGAGCCCTCCACACGCCCTCGACATGTGTCAAGATCTGAACCCTAAATATCTAACTTAATCCAACGGTCCGAAATAAACCTTATCCATCCTCTGGAACCTCCTCTCTGTATTTAAACACCCTCTGCTCCTTCACCCTCTGCACACCCACAAATCTCCATTTACTTAGCAAAAGACCTCTCTTTTTATCTAATTCTAAGCTATGGCTTCAACTTTTTCGAGAAGTGTTTCTGCCTTTTCTCTTGCATCAAAGCAAGGGGACACTGCTAGTGCTCTTGGTGCTAGTGGTGGGAATGGCATTTCTTCCTTGCCTTTGTTTTCCAGAAAGAAAAGGAACACTAGCCTTGTAGTTTCTTCTGCCTCCGGAGAAACTCTTACTGGTCTAGTGTTCCAGCCATTTGAAGAGGTGAAGAGGGACGACTTTCTAGTTCCTATTTCTAGTAAGGTTTCTCTTGCTCGTCAGTTCTATGTGGATAAGTGTGAAGCTGCCATTAACGAGCAGATCAAGTCAGTAATAACTTTTCTCTTTTTGTAAGAGATACATTATCTTGAAATCTCATTGTAGAGTAGATAAATATTGATTTGTGTTTGTGTTTTGTGTTAACAGTGTGGAGTATTCTGCTTCCTACGTCTACCATGCCATGTTTGCCTATTTTGACAGGGATAACATTTCTCTCAAAGGCCTAGCCAAGTAAGCACACAAGATCCCGTCTCTTTGTTCTTGGCTGCTTCCCTTTTTTTTTCTGTTGATTTGTAGTAACTGAGGTATGGTGTGGTCATGTTCTAATCAGATTCTTCAAGGAATCAAGTGAAGAAGAAAGAGAACATGCTGAGAAGTTCATGAAGTATCAGGTACCTACCAGGCTACCACTTCCTTTTAGGAACTCGAATATATTCTTTTTAATTTTTGGTATTCTTAATTAATTATTTTCCAAATATATGTGATTAGAATATACGAGGAGGGAAAGTAGTGCTTCACTCTATACTGAAACCCGTTTCTGAATTTGAGCATGGTGACAAAGGAGATGCATTATATGGTATGTTTCTAGACTCATGTTTATTGCTAGAAACTGTTGAAGTATTATTTGTGGATTTTGTCGATAATACAGAAAACACAAAAGATTTAACTAGTGAAAAGGATTACAAATATAAACTCTAAATTTATAGTTTTATTTTTCAGAACAAAAATAAGGCTAATGTTTGTTTTCTTGGAGATTTACAAGCCAAGAAGAAAACACTATTTCTATTACGAGACAAATAAAAATCTGAAATAATAAAGAAAATTAATATAAAATTCAAAATAAAATAATAATCCAAAAAAATATAAGAAAAATAACAAAATTGTTCCATACAATAACTTTCAAGTCTACTTTTAGAAGATCTAACGATCTGATAAATGAAACGATACTCACTAAAAAAATTGCATGTAGAATTACCTGGATATATGAATCCGAACCAATGGTTTAATTTCTTGATATTTATCTTTTTAAGTCATTATTCTAGTTTGATGTGATCAAATCTTCTCTTAAACCTAAACATGTCGCTTTTGATCTATAAAAACATCTACAAAGTCATTAACATGATCGGTTGGTGGCACATCTCTATCTAGTTATAGCAAATTATTATTAGAATACTCATAACCTTTAATTTTATATAAACCCGGCTACATCATAATTCCATCATGAAGTGACTTAGTAGGTGGATTTTGTCTCCAATCTTTGTTATGCTTTCCATAATATAGAGGTGTCAGGATATGTTTCTGTAATGGAAAACGTTTACGGTTTATAGTTAATTAACTTGGGCTGTCTTTGATTAATTCAGCTATGGAACTAGCATTGTCTTTGGAGAAGTTGATAAATGAGAAACTACTGAGCTTGCACAAGGTAATGTGTCTTTTTCCTTCACCATGCTTTTTCTATTTTAATTTCATGCAATTAGGAAGTATTATGTACTTTCTTGCATTAAATGCCTGGAATTGCCAATTTTTTCAGTATTGTGCTCATGAGCTATACTGTGTTCTTGATAAATAACAGGTGGCAAATGAGAACAATGATCCACAAATGCAAGATTTCATCGAAAGCGAGTTTTTGGAAGAGCAGGTAAGCTCAAAATAATTTTGTTTCTTTCCCTGGATATAATACTGGATTGAACACTTGTATGCACTTATCCTGTGAGATACACTGGATGGCGGCCGTGCTAGATTGAAGGTGAAATAAAGATATCAGATTATGCATTTAAAAACATTCACTCATCTATTTCCAGAAAAAAAGATTGCTTTTTTCCTCCTCTCAACAACCTGCTAGGCATTTGTTCTGTCCAAAACTGAGAACAAAATTGAAAAATTTACTATGGAAGAACAATCACATAAAAAATTGGTAACATTTTACTTTCACACTTGCAAGGATACTTATTACATCATACACTGACATATACAATTTTTTTAACAGGTTGAATCCATTAAGAAGATAGCTGAATATGTCACTCAATTGCGGATGGTTGGAAAAGGCCATGGTATGCTAATAAATTACATTTTAAGTATCTTTGTTACTTTCACCATGCTAGTCTACTTACTCTTCCATTCTCCATATATTTATAACTTTGGGTTTTAAGACAAGTTTTTGTGAACTTGCAGGAGTATGGCACTTTGATCAGATGCTCCTCCATGCATGAGGCTCATGCTGCATGATGTGAAAATACAATCTGCACCTGCTCTGGGTTCAAGTCTGTGCTATAGTAGATTTAGAATAACTTCTCTATGAGTTTTAATGGATTGAGGATAATAAATTTTCAGTGTAGGATGTATAATAGACATTAATGTAGTAAGGAGGTAGCTGCTTTGCTTTCAATAAACTGTGTGGCAACATTACGAAAACAGATTTGGACTCTTTTATTTGGAGGTGAAATGAATTTGTATTTTAAGTATGGATGTTGCTTGATGTTCCCTTTTGACTCCAGGCTGTTTGAGTGTAGAATCACTTCAGTCGATTGATCTATAAATATGGAGTCTGTTGATCAAATTAAATCATATGATTCAGAGCTGATTTTGTGAACCATGGCTTGTTTTATTTGAAACAGAACAATCATTACATTGATTTCTTGTTAAGGGCAGAGAAAATCCATTGATTGAGTTTTTTGTTGATACAAAAATACTGGAAAAACTACTGGCTTACCTTTCTCAATTTTATTTCTTGTTTTTTGCACCAAAAGAATGTCTGCTAGCAGATTTTCGAAGTTCTTGCAAGAAGAACCACCGGGGCTGGCAGCCAGCTGCTTCTGCCTTTTGTCTTCCATTCCATCGCCTTCCTTTTAATTTCTTTACCCTTTTCTCCCTCCATTAGCTCTATAAGAAGCTTCCCAACTTGATCTCTCTTAACATCACCGTTTATCTGCACGCTGATACCCCATTTGTTGCAAGCGAATCAACTGTTGGTTTGCTGCTCTGAGAAAAATGGCCAGCAAAAAAATAAAAAACAAAAGAACCCCACAACTAAGGCTTAAAGGACCGATTTCCATCCCAAGTGACTTACAAATACTCCTATTGACGGGTGCTTTAAAATCTGCTGTTGTGGACACTGACTTGCTAACATGCCTCTATCCTTTGTTTCTGTAAGGAATTCAGGTGAAAAAATGCTTGAATATGAGAAATTTGTTTAAATAATAAGGTTAGTGGCCATATTTAAAGCTAAATTAAAAATAAGATATATTCATTTTTAAAATTAAAATTTTACTGAAATTCAATCTTCAATATATGCTATTTAATACAATATTAGCAAAGTTTAAACTAGGGGTTGTTTTTACTGACTGGTGTTGAAAAAATGGGGGAGGTGCTAGCCAAATCAGGCTCCTCCATAGGTTTTCAACAATCTAGCATTTGAAGGACCCCCATTTTTGGCCGTCACTAACCTTTTTCTCAAACCCCATCCATAATTTTTTATTGTCATTTGTTTTTTAATGGGGTTCATGGTGGAGCATGGGAGAGTGGAAGAATCGTACGTAAGTGTGTTTTTGTGTTTTTTTAAGTGTGAGTGGGAAAATATGGGCAAGTGGGAGAATATGGGTGAGTGTTCTTTGTTTCCCACTTGTCTCTTCAAAATTTTAGTCCTCCTTTATTTTTCTTCCAAATACCATGGTCCTTCTCCCTTTCTTTTTAAGTTTTTTTGAAAACAACACCAACTTAATATAAAAAAATTAATCGATAATTTTGAAATAAATATTTTAATAAATAAAGGTATTAAAAATAAATTTTTAATTTTAAAAAAAACATTGAAAATGATGCAAACAAGTCAAAAAAAATTATAAACTCTTTTTTTATTTTAAAAATATTTATAAAAATAGAGGGTAAAAAATTGGATAATGACAATATACATGTCAATATTTTGATTTTATATTAATTACAAGTCTGAATATATGTTTAATATACATACTCGTATTCTTTTATTATATTTGTGTTAAAATTATATTTGTTTTGAGTTTTATTTTGTATGTTTATAGATTTAAAATTGTATATATTATATGCTTTCATTGAATATATTATATGGTTTTATTATGGTAAACTAAACATTATTGCTTATTATTCTCCTATATTTACAATAAAGGTTAACAAACTCACCATGATCGTTGCCAGACCTTATTATCCATAAGAAAGATTTTTTGTTGTTAGCCAGAACCTAAGTCAATTCTAGCATTTGTTATGGAATTAGGGCAATGAAGCTTCTAAAATTTACATACACCACATAATTTAATTTTTTTAAATCGAGTTATTAAATAAAGACTAAGTGTTCTTTTCATAAATTTAAATCAATAAAGTTTAGTCTATCATTTGTTATATACATATTAGCAAGCAAATGGAGAGTATCGATGTTATAAATAGTCTCGAACCCTCATTTTTTGTTTCACCATTCATAATTAAGCCATATGTATGATTATCATTATAATTCCCTGATACTAACTTTTTCAACTCTCTAGAGTTTAATAAAGTTTTGACATCATTTGAACTAATAATATCATGTCCATACAATAAAGTATTAGCAAAATAATCATAAAATCTGATACTAACTTTTTCAACTCTAGAGTTTAATAAAGTTTTGACATCTTTTTAATTAATAATATCATGTCCATGCAATAAAGTATTAGCAAAATAATCATAAAATAAATGTAATAAACATAATAAAATCAAACTTTGGTCCCTATCTTCGACCTTAACATTAATATTATATAAATTTAAAATTACTCTATTGAATTCATCAAGATAATCTTTAATATAATTGATTTGTTAGGGATTTAGTCATGTAAAAAGTTTTCAATTTTTTTTTATAATACAGTAGTTGTCTCATTAGTAAACTCTTTTAAAATCTTATCAGATAAATAAAGTTGAATATGTCTCATTAGTAAACTCTTTTAGAATCTTATCAGATAAATAAAGTTGAATATGTCTCATTAGTAAACTCTTTTAAAATCTTATCAGATAAATAAAGTTGAATATGTCTCATTAGTAAACTCTTTTAGAATCTTATCAGATAAATAAAGTTGAATAGCATTATATGTATATTCTATGAGATCTTATTTCTCCCCATCACCATCCCTTTAAATAAGTTTATACCTTTTAATATCTTAAATAAATCTTGTTGAACTAGCAAGACACATATCATAGATTAAAGTCATTTATATTATTAATTCAATATGAAAAGATAAAAGATTACAATATGTCATATAAAATTTCTCTTTCATCTCAAAATCCCAATGTAACCAAGATCACATTTTCTTTTCTTTCTCTAACATCAAAGTGTAAAGAATAAAAACAATCATATATAAGTCTTACCCTAAAATATAACAACTTTAGGTTTTTATATAGACTATATGCATGAATGTTTTTTTTCTTATTTGAACCCACAATTTAAGATAAAGACAACATATGCAAATTAAAAAAGTCTTTGGAGAAAATTAAGCACTCTTAATACTATAAATTATTAATTCGTTAAAATACAATTGATTTCCATTTTAATTTTCAACTTAATCAAAACTTAATTATCATTCTAATTCATGAGAACTCAAACCAGCTATCATATTTACTTAAAAACTCTAATATGTTATTATAGCCCTTGCTTCTTCTTTTTTACAAAAATTATCAAATTATTTAAAAATAAAAACTAACATAGGCTATAGAAGATTATGATATATTTTTCTTTAAAATAAAATAGTGTGATAAGCAATTTCACAATTCATTCATAAATTTTTAATAACTCCAATTATTTATTTAGAACATAAATATGGATTGCACAATATCATTCAAAGTAAAAAACAAAAATCATGGTTACTCTAATTATAATAATAATCAAATATATTTTACCATTCGAGTAGATAAAAAATCATAATAACCTATAAAATCAAAATCATATACCTTTAATTAGTTTTTTACTTGATTATAGCTTTTACTTCACAACTTCAATTTAAAAATAGTTAAATCAAAGATCTCAGTATGATTTTTTTTTTTCATAAGACTTATTGAAAAGCCAAATTCTGGCACCTAAAGTTGTCAATTCATTACTTTTTCCAAGTTTTAAATTTTGCAATAACTTTCAAATCATCAGCCGAAAATATGTAAGGCAACTTTTAATGACTTTCTAATGATCCAAAGAGTTCATTGATATTATTTTTATTCATTAAAAGTGGCTAAAATAAAAGATTATTAAAAACCCTAATTACTAGGCTTTTCTTAATCACTCTCATGAAAAACTTTAATTAAAATTAAAGATACAAAGAAAACATCTTAAAGTTAATTATGGACAATGATCTTCGTCCTATTAATTCCTTTCCTGATCCCCTTTCTTTTTCTCTAAGGATGGAAATTTGATGTGTATAAAACAAGGTATACTTTTCATTTTTTTTATATTCTTAATTATTGAGCATTTACTAATTTAAAGGTCATAATTGCTAAATCTTTTTTCTAGTTACCACAAATACTATGCAGATGTTTAGAATTGTAGTAAAGATTATTTTTTAAAATATTTTTTATTTAAAAATATATTAAAATAATATTTTTATTTTATTTTTAAAAAATTTATTTTTAACATTAACATATTAAAAAAATCCAAAAACACACACACACACACACATCATTTTAAATTCAATATAATTTTTATACACGTGGTTGTCCATTTTTTAAGGGTTTTCACTATAATCAATCATGCATGTTTTGAAAAGTAAAAACATTAAGGATTTTTTTCATTTGTGTGGTTGAGAATACATACATACATACATACATATATATACATACATACATACATATATATACATACATAAATACATACATATATATATATATATATATACATATATAAAAACATGCCTCCCATCGTTCATCGTTCATGGAGACCGGTGAAAAGAAAGCAATCAAATTGAGATGACCTAATCCAAATACTTATCAGATGGTAACAATGGCCGAAAATAATGGCACAGAGAAGAAGGAACTAGACATTTACAGTCCTCAAACGAAAGTCCATTGTTTTGCAACAATCTAAATCTGGCCCAAACCCATTTCTGAGCCCATTAACTACTGGGCTGGCCAATTTTTTGTTTTATTCATAGTCCATTAATCTGGCACCGTTTAAGAGTAAATCTTAATCTGTTTTTTTTTTTATCAAAATTTAAATTTTGTTTTTGTTTTAAATTAGTATTTTCAATTTTTAAAAATAAATTTAATATTTTAATATTAAAAATAAATTTTCAATTTAATATTTTTATATTAAAAATAAAATTTTAAAAATATATTATTTTAATATTTTTCTAAATAAAAAATTAAGAAAATTACCGTCATAACCCTTTCAATTGCCCGTAAATCAAGTGCAAGTTCTGGAACAGGGTAGAAACCGTAGGCAAACAGAACAAGCTTATTACTTAGTCTCGGATTGCGACAATGCCAGCTCAGAAAATCACAAGACAAGAAAAGAGGAAATATCCTCCAGTTTAGACCCTGTGCTTGTATAAATTATCCAGATCAGCCCCTATAACAATATTCATCAAATCCACCCTATACTCCTCACAATTTGTTACTCCAACTCAATTAAAAGGAAGATTTCATCAATGTAATTACCCTTCTCATATTCTTATCGGTATATTTATAATTTATCCCAATGAGTTTGAATTGATAAAATGTGATAAATAAGGTCCCGATTTGAAAAATTGGATTTTATCAGGGTCTTATTTCTGGCTCGACTTAATCACAGGGACTAAATTGGTTTCTTGCAAAGCGTGGCTGTCTCGCGCTAAATATGACAAAATACATGTCCAAATTCAAAGTTTTTGGCAGCGTGGAAAAATATCAACCTACTCGCACACCTATCACGTGATTTCACGCCACCAATGAAACTTTCAAATCAAAACGAAAAGTCTAAAATACGTTAAGTCTGAGCTCTAACTCCACGAGTACAATTATTTACTACACTCAAGCGATTGAGAAAGGAAGGACAAGTCTTTGGGATTATAAGATTGCAACGTGGAAAGAATTTATAAGGAGAGGTTCCGTTCACACTGGATAGACCACGAGCCCTCCACACGCCCTCCAATCGTGGCAAGATCTAAGCCCTAAATATCTAACTTGATCCAACGGTCCGAAACAAACCTCATCCATCCTCTGGCACCTCCTCTCTGTATTTAAACACCCTCTGCTCCTTCACCCTCTGCACAACCACAAATCTCCATTTACATAGCAAAAAACCTCTCTGTTTTTCTCATTCTAAGCTATGACTTCAACTTTTTTGAGAAGTGTTTCTGCCTTTTCTCTTGCAACAAAGCAAGGGGACACTGCTAGTGGTGGGCATGGCATTTCTTCCGTGCCTTTGTTTTCCAGAAAGAAAAGGAATACTAGTCTTGTAGTTTCTTCTGCCACTGGAACTCTTACCGGTCTAGTGTTCCAGCCATTTGAAGAGGTGAAGAGGGAGGACTTTCTTGTTCCTATTTCTCGTCAGGTTTCTCTTGCTCGTCAGTTTTATGTGGATGAGTGTGAAGCAGCCATTAACGAGCAGATCAAGTCAGTAATAACTTTTCTCTTTTTGTAAAAGATACATAATCTTGAAATTTCATTGTAGAATAGATGGTTATTGATATGTGTTTGTGTTTTGTGTTAACAGCGTGGAGTATTCTGCTTCCTACGTATACCATGCCATGTTTGCCTATTTTGACAGGGATAACATTGCTCTCAAAGGCCTAGCCAAGTAACCACACCAGATCCCGTCTCTTTGTTCTTGGCTACTTCCCTTATTTTATTTTTTAATGATTTGCAGTAACTGAGTTATGGCGTGTTCATGTTCTAATCAGATTCTTCAAGGAATCAAGTGAAGAAGAAAGAGAACATGCTGAGAAGCTCATGAAGTATCAGGTACATACCACTTACCTTTTGAAAATCGATTATTTTCTTTTTAATTTTTGGTATGCTTGATTAATTATTTTCCAAATATATGTGATTAGAATATACGAGGAGGGAAAGTGGTGCTTCACTCTATACTGACACCCGTTTCTGAATTTGAGCATGTTGAGAAAGGAGATGCACTATATGGTATGTGTCTAGACTCGTGTTCATTGCTAGAAACTCCCAAGTATTATTTGTGAATTTTGTCTCCATTTAATCCCAGCCATATTTTAATGGAAGTGAATTAGTTGGTGGATTTTGTCTCCAATCTTTGATATGCTTTCCATTACATAGAGGTGTCAGGATGTGTTTCTGTAATGGACAATGTTTACAGTTTCTGAGTTAATTAACTTGGGCTGTCTTTGATTCAGCTATGGAACTGGCATTGTCTTTGGAGAAGTTGACAAATGAGAAACTACTGAGCTTGCACAAGGTGATGTGTCTTTTGCCTTCACCCTTTTTTTTTCCTGCAATTAGGAAGTATTATGTACTTTCTTGCATTAAATGCCTGGAATTGCCAATTTTTTCAGTATTGTGCTCATGAGCTATACTGTGTTCTTGATAAATAACAGGTGGCAAATGAGAACAATGATCCACAAATGCAAGATTTCATCGAAAGCGAGTTTTTGGAAGAGCAGGTAAGCTCAAAATAATTTTGTTTCTTTCCCTGGATATATATAATACTGACTTGAACATCTGTATGCACTAATCCTGTGAGATACACTGGAAGGAGGTCGTGCCAGATTATGCATTTAAAAACATCCATTCATCTATATCCAGAAAAAAGATTGCTGTTTTCCTCCTGTTAGGCATTTGTTCTGTCCAAAATTGAAAATTTTAATATGGAAGAACAGTCACGTCAAAAATTGGTAACATTTTACTTTCACAGTTGCAAAGATACTTATTGCCTCATACTCTGACTAATACAATTTTTTTAACAGGTTGAATCCATTAAGAAGATAGCAGAATATGTCACTCAATTGCGGATGGTTGGAAAAGGCCATGGTATGCATATAACTTACATTTTCAGTATCTTGCTGCTTTCACTATTCTAGTCTACTTACTATTCCATTCTCCATATATTTATACTTTTGGGTTTTAAGCAAGTGTTTGTGGACTTGCAGGGGTATGGCACTTTGATCAGATGCTCCTCCATGAGGCTCATGCTGCATGATGTGTAAATACAATCTGCACCTGTTCTTGGTTCAAGTCTGTGCTATAGTAGATTTAGGATATCTTCTCTAGGGTTTTAATGGATGGAGGATAATAAATTTTCAGTGTAGGATGTATAATAGACATTAATGTAGTAAGGAGGAGGTAGCTGCCTTGCTTTCAATAAAATGTGTGGCAACATTACGAAAACAGATTTGGAATCAATGATTTCATGTACAAGCATGATCTGGAGATGCAATGTACTAGTATTTTAAGAATGGAAGTAGCTTTATGTTCCCTTATGACTTCATGCTGTTTGAGAAGAGAATCACGTCAGTTGATTGATTGATCTATAAATATGGAGTCTGTTGATCAAGTTAAATCATATGATTCAGAGCTGATTGTGTGAACCATGGCTTGTTTTATTTGATACAGAACAATCATTACGTTGATTTCTTGTTAAAGGGCAGAGAAAATCTATTGATTGAGTATTTTGTTGATACAAATATACTTATCTTTCTCAAATTTATTTCTTTGTTTGCACCAAATGAATGTCTGTTGGCAAATTTTTGAAGAAGTTCCTGCAAGAAGAACTACCGGGACTGGCAGCTTCTCCTGCCTTCGTCTTCCATTCCATCGCCTTCCTTTTCATTTATTTACCCCTTTCTCCCTCCATTACTTCTCTAAAAAGCTTCCCAACTTGATCTCTCTTTACATCACCCTGTATCTCCATGCCGATATCCCATTTGCTGCAAGAACACCAACAGTTGTTTTGCTGCTCTGCAATAAATGGCAAACAAAGAAATGGAACTCAACAACTAAGACTCTCATCTCAAGGACCGAATTCCACTTGCAAATACTCCTATAGATGGATGCTTTAAAATCTCCTCTTGTGGACACTAACTTGTTAACATGCCTCTATCCTTCGTTTCTGCAAGGAATCCAGGAGGAAAAATGGTCAGAACTTATTATAAGAAAGTTTTTTGGCTGTTAGCCGGACCCTTCGCATTTCCTGCGGTGTTGGTACAGTGATGCTTCCAAAATTTACATGAATCTTAAATTTTGAGCATGAAACTACTTTTATACCTTTGAGAGGTGTTAAGCCCCTTTCAACAAGAACGCGGAACTGTGTGCAGCCTAAGAGCCCACAGGTGTGTAACAGTAGGTTAGGAATCCCAAATTCCTCAGCAGCATCATGTGTACAGACATAGCACCATCAGAATCATCACAGGTCACCGGCTGGACGTTGGAGATGAAGCACTGTCATCGAGCCTGAAAAGTATATTGCGAAATGGGACCGAGCAGTTTTTTGCAGTGGATTCACAGAAAGAAGGGATGCCCTGAGTTGCATCAGAATCATCTGTCTGTGGGAGGCCGTCAGGTATAGCTTCGAACCGAAAGTCCGGGGAGCCATCCAGAGAGTTAGAGCCTCTGGATTTGAGAAGTCGTGTGTGGTTATTCTCAGTACTGACAAAGGTTATGTGGAAGCCATTAAAATGTAAGAGTTTTGCTTACTTTAGCATTGGGGCTTTGTGACCCTGAGCTGGGAATGATACGCAAACAGCACGAGGCTTATCAGCTACTTGATTGAAATCCATCTCCCTCCCTCCAATTGCCATGTGAGAGTGAAATTTTACATTTATTGGAAGGGGCAGATCTCTCCCCTCCATTATATAGTTAAATTGATTCAATCCATTGGTAAAAGGTAACATTGCCAACAAGCATAGAGGTGATGAGCATTTCTGTAGTGAACCCACTTGCACGCCACGTCGTTTTGTAGTCATGATGTAATATATTGAATCTTAATTAATTAGCAAGTTCATCACGTCTGTTATTTTCTGAATTATTGAGGATAAAAAGCAATGCCAAAGAGAGATATTGACTTGTATGTCGTCATTTTCCAGGCTAAAACTATAGTCTTATAAATAAATAAAAACAAGTATAAAAAAAATGTATGTTGAATATTTTAAACATAATAGTAAGTATACTTATTGAATATAGATTAAGGTTCTATAAAAGATTGTATAATTTATCACTCAGTCCTTATTACTCGTCATTTTATGCCAAAACATTTATTGCAAGATTCAACCAACACCATCTTAATTAATTACATCACTAAAGAAGCTTCATGAGCAAGGAAACTGACTAAAAATTATCTAAGATGAAGCAAAATTTGCTTTTAATTTGATTTCAAATATGTTTATTAAATATAAAAAAGTTCTAATAATTTTTTATAAAAATTTTATTTGACCCATATATAAAAATTTAAGAATTTGTAGAGAAATAATGATTTGGTAGATCATTATATCATATTAATAATTATTATTCTTGAATCTTGCTTGGTAAAATACTATTGAATTTACTAGTAAATATATTATTTTAAATTATTTAACTTTTTATGTTAACCAACGCTAAGGGTTTACTTTTAGGTTATCATAACTTAATTATTCAATCAAATAACTCAATCTATGACTCTCATGCACCTAACTTGATGCTTATCTCATAAGGATCATCGTATAACTTAATATCTAGGAATTACGCAAATGACATCAATCAACCCAAGCTAAAACGAGGATGATTAGAAACCTTTGATATGAATCGATTCGCCATTCTTAATCATCTAATTACGCAGATTAGAAATAATAATGACGCGGTAACATGGTAAAGATAGAAGTACTTATTGAGAAGAAATGGAGAGTGAGTAGGCAATAAATTTTTGAGCTTCCCAGTCCAGTTTCACCACAGATTCTCATTTCTGCAGCAGTCAAGTGGAAAGTAGTGATGGGGCCATGGTCAAACTTTGTGAGGTGTCCATACCTCTCTCCCTGACTCTCTCCCACATATGCAGACACAGACAAGAAAGCACTGTCCATTGCTGGTGCTATTAGATTAATGAAGTGTTGGGTAACTGATGAGCCATGATTTTCTAAAAACTCTCCTCGACCATTACATGAAATTTATAATTTAAAATGGGGTTATATCTTTTGAGCGTTAAAGCATGACGTGCACATACTCAACTCTAAATTAGACAAGGGTGAATCCATATTCAACTCTAAATTGAGCCATGGCAAACCCTCAACTCTAAATTGAGTTAAGAACTGACATAATTCTAATTCAAGTCATGGTACATTTACATCCAACTGTAATTCAGACTGTAAGATATTCTCGTCCAGTTTCAAATTAGGTTAAGATATATCTGCGCCATAACTTATATTAGATCAGGATATATCTGCACCTAACTCCATGAAAGATTATGGTACCCCTATCCCTGATCGATCTTAGATATAATCACAGGCTAACTCAATTCCTCTTAGGTTAAACGTGTAAATTGGACTTAACTCTTT